CCGATGGCCCCTATGGGCAAAACTCTCACTGCGAAGATCGGTAAGCGTTTTGCTTACTGATCTTCGCAATGCGATGTCGGGGGAACAGCTGATTGGCGGTTCCAAAATGGCCACCGGAAGCCCCAAAATGGCCGCGCGCAGCGTTTTCGCGCCCTGCCCTCGCTTACCGAGGGCGCGAAAATGGCTGCCGGACCCTGGAAACATCGCTGAACGGTGAGTTTTTTGCCCATTTGGAACGCATTAAACATCGTTTAATGCGTTCCAATGGGCTTCCCCGTTCCATACAGCGATGTTTTCACATAGCAAGGGTTAATCCGGAACGGATTAACCTCGCTATGCGAGGCACCACTGTATTTAATTTTTTTTTTGTTATTTTAGTTGTTACTGTATATGTTTCCTTAAATATATGAACCATCCCGAGTAGTGTTTCACTAAGTCGAGTGGTTGGTAAATAAATAAATAAATAAAAATCACAAGACTTTTCATTGTTTCTCCTGCAATGGACTAAAATGGCTACATTGGAACAGGTATGGGCTAGGAATGCTTTGAACTCTTCCACAATATAGCTAAAACCTTGAGAGTATCCGTGCTTCATGTTATGTTTGTCCATTAGAACTGCTGGACAGAACTGCAGAGCCAGAAGTTGGGAGTTTGATTCTCTATTATGTAGATACAGAAGTACAGCTGGAAGCTGGCCAGCATGACTTCTGCCAAAACCTAGAATCCAAATATTTATTTATTTATTTATTTATTTGATTTATTTATTGGACCGATGGACCAATAAGGCAAACCAATTTAGAATATGTATGTGCAGGAGGGCACTTACATGTTTTAATTTGCCTGTGCATCTTTTCAGTATTAGGAAATAGGAATATGATCCTATATCAACTCCAAGAGCAAAGCAAATAGTAAACATATAAAATTACTTATACAGCAAAAAAGTGAATTTTATTTTTCTAATAATATATTTTAAAAGGGACCAAATGTTTATCTTTTAATCCAGCGTAAGAATTGAAATTAAAAGGTGTGCATGAATTCTGAAAGCCTTGTCCTCAATGACTACAAAGGTATTTAATGAAACATACTGGGTACGATATAACTGAGCATAAATATTTATTTAGCTCAGGAAGACAGATATGGTAATAATCTGTAAAATACCTGCTATAGTTCTATTGAGTTCTCGTACAAACTGTAGCACTGAGTAAGTGAGCATTCACCTTGGAAATGCCAGATAAAATGGCCAAAATCCTGTTGTGTAGTTACACTAGCAGACGTGAAACAGCATAACAGCATAGGGTAGGGTAAGGGCTAACTGAGATATGAATACATTTAGAGGGGGTGGATTTGAACGGTCACATTACAAATTGGTATTTTTTCCCATAATAATTCTAAATAATCTCTTCTAAGAATGATTCCAATTATCATACACAAATATATACATTATATAGAAAAATCTAAATTTAGATTGGTATTTTGTAATTCCCATTATTAATTATGTAGCTGGTCTTTTTTGCAACCATGTATATAGTGGCAGCCCAGTTTCCCGATGGTCATTTTTCTTTTTTGGATTCAACCATTCTGTTAGCATACCCATTTCTGCGGTTGTCAATATTTTCCCTATCAGTTCGTCTATTTGTGGTATTCCAGACTCCTTCCAGTGTTTTGCAAATACTATTCTCGTCGCTGTTATCATATGGATGGCTAAGAATGTTTTTTCAGAATCTAATGTATTAGGCAAAATATTTAGTAGAAAAAATTCTGGTATCATTGATATTGGAGTTTCTAATATCTCTTGCAGTATCTGTTTGACTTTGGTCCAGTATTTTTGGGCTTCTTTACACATCCAACACATGTGGTAAAATGTCCCTTCTTTTTGTTACATTTCCAACATATATTTGAGAACTGAGTGATTATTTTGGCTAGAGTTTTGGGAGCCATATACCATCTGTAAAACATTTTACAGTGGTGCCCCGCTGGACGATTACCCCGCTTGATGACGAATCCACTTAACGTTGAGGTTTTTGCAATCGCAAAACGATGTTTAGATGGGGGAATTTTGCTTAACGTTGATCGGTTCCCTGTTTCGGGAACTGATTTTTTTGCTTTACGACGATCAGCTGATCGTCAGGTTTCAAAATGGCCACCGGCTGTAGAAAATGGCTCCCCACTGTGTTAGGGACGGATTCCTCGCATTACAGGCACCAGAAAATACCTGCCGTATGGAGGATCTTTGCTGGGCGAGCAGGTATTTCACCCATTGGAACACATTGAACGATTTTCAATGCATTTCAATGGGTTTTTTATTTCATTTGACGACGATTTCACTCTACAGCGATTTCTCTGGAACGAATTAACATCGTCAAGCGAGGCACCACTGTTTATATATTCTCCTTGAACACTGTAGATTTAGTTATATTTATATTTATTTTCCAGATTTGTTCCTATTGGTTTAATTCAATATTGTATCCTACATTCAGTGCCCATTTGTTCATGCATGCTTTTACTACTTCATCTTGTGTTTCAAAATCTAGCAAAATCTAACTTAATGCATTTTCTTTCTGATTCTAAAAGAGTTCTGTTGAAAGGAGTGTTTTCTTGATAAAATCCCTGTTGCTTATCTTTAGTATACCTTGATATTAAAAGTGGGAATTAAAAGGGTAAGCAGGTCCAGACTGGAAACTGAATGCTTTATCACAGCTCTCACTACTGAAAATGACACAACATCCACCTGTCGATAATTGCTTAAATGACTAACAATCTAACTAATTAAGCTTATATAGCTCAACTCTTTGTTTCTGTTAAGCACTAGTTCTGACATCGCAGTTTGAACTAAGTATAAAGCTCAGCTCTCCACATCGTCATACAAGTTTGCTGCTGACAGCTAGAAAACAAAACAAAAAAGCACAGCTGCCCAGCCGGGCAAGAACATTCAAAAGAAAACTTCTGCTGAAGTAATAAGCCAGAAATGCAATAGCCACACAGAAGAGACTGACACAGGAAGCATGCATATTTGCTTTGTTAACTGAAGGAAAACTTTGGCTATTTAAAGAAGCTGTGAACAGCTAAAGACGTATAATGCATGAAATGGATGTCATTGAAAAGAGGCAGACATGCTGAAAATGGGCTGTGTTTTCTCTCTTCCACACACATACCCAGAGAGAGAGAGAGAGAGAGAGAGAGAGATCAATAAATGATACTGCATTCATTTTAAACCATTACATCTGTAAGGTAACAAAAAATAAGATCCCATGAATTCACACATTAGTGCTTGAGCTTTGAAATAGTGATACAGAAATTCTTTCCACAGCAATCTCCAGAATGGGGTGAAATGCCCAAATTACTGCATATTATTTTCATATATTATAACTACTTTGTTCTTTTTACACTCTGATGGCAATGCCTAATTTTTACTAGTCACACCATAATGTAACTATTACTTGCTGCATTTAGCATTTTTCAAATTTTAATATAGCAAGTTGTATATAACAAGATAGTGGTGTGTTTATTCTCAGATATTCCCATTCTTAAATTCTTTATCAGCTCATATATGAATGATTATGTTTAAACGTAACAGGCAATGAATCATCACTAGTTCAAAAGATGCAGGTCATCTGCATTGTTGGACTTTAAATATCATCTATTGAAAGACTTTCATTAAAAGAAATAATCTGCCATCCTAATAGAAGTTGACTTCAAAGAACAATCACACTCAATTAAAAAGAATAACATATGAAGTTCCTTTAAAAGACTTGTATAGAATTAGAACCATCTTCAGCAAGGTAGGAAATGGCTTTCATCACTACCATGCTTCCAGAGATTCAGCAGCTCCTGTTTCTGCTGCAGGGATATTTCCTGATTTGAAATCAATGTACACAGGTTTGAGCTGGTTCTTATACAAAAGGGAAAGACGCGCCAGGAGAAGAAAAAGGGAGAACAAAGACACATTCTGGGAACAGAAGCACATTACATGACTTAACATAGCACTGCAAAGTCAGCTTACTAATTTCAGGTCATTGGAGCAGCAGAACATATTCGTACTTAGTTGACCAGGAATTGGGACAAAAATAGGAACTGTTTTACATAGATGTCCAAAAAGAGAAATGGCAAATCAAAGGAAAATTGCTACTCCAGCCACTTAAGCAAGGAAGGAACATTTCTGTAGATTTCAAAAGACCAAGTGGGGAACAAGAAAAATGGAAAACCTGCAACTAAGGCAAAATCTTATGTTTAGATTTATGCACAGGAGAGAGAGAGGGAAAAAAAGAAGCTCTGCTTGACAATCTGCCTCACTAGTTTCAAATGGAATCTGCTTTGTTCAGCAGCTTAACAGTGCACTTGCATTCAAGGAAACAGGGCAACTCAGCTTGTTCTCCCAGGCCTTGGATGTCTTCCCCACCATTTACAAAGGAGAACTCCACAAATAATCTCTTCCCCCATTCACATTTCTGCACAATTCAATTCAATTTTGAAAACACAAAAGCTTTGAATGTATTCTGCTGAATGAACTTATATCATCCCAGGCTACATAATGAAAATCACTACTAACTAGGAATGGCAGTTTCATAGTTATAGAGCACAGGTAATAAGAAATATAAAAGTACAGCATAAAGAACCCAAAAAAGAGCAGCATGGTATTAAGGAATGTTTCACTTGCTAGCACCATAGCTGTTTCATAGAAATGAAGATTTGTGCAAGCTGTTTAACATACTTCAGTTAAGTGGCCAGGCCACTAAATGACGCCAGGAATATCCTAGACCCCAAGCAGCTGGCCTTAAATGTACACAGATATGGCTACTATACATTGGTAAAATGCTGCAAAACAGAGTGTAGAGAGGTCCTGTGAGGAAGTTTTAGCTAGATGTGGGAAGCATGAGGATGCCTTCCAGGACACAGCTGTATGTTGCTCTAATAACACGGCTATGCCTGAAACTGTTCCCACATGATAATCTTAAAAAAGCATTATTATACACAAGGGAGAATAAGTAAGGAAGTTTTAATACCTTCATCTCTTCCTCCATCTCAGACAGCTTCCGTTCAAGGGCTCGTTTCTCCTGTTAAGACAATAGTATTTCCACAGTGATCATCTTTTGTGCGATATGAAGAAATATAGTTATCATTGACATTTTAATGGAGAAAAAATCACTTGTATTTAGAGGACAAAGGTTTCTCAAGAAGCACAACGTAAGAGCCACAGGATGGCAAAATCCTTTTCACTCTACAGAACACACTGCTCTTTTGCCTGCACACAAAAACACACTCTTCATCAATATCTGTGCTTATCCCCATTCATCTTATTTGCTTCTTTCATCTCTAACCTCTAAAGCAGTGGTTCCTAACCTGGGCAATATTGCGTTGGACGTAAAAGGCAAGGGCTTGCCTAACGTCTAAAGTATGAAGGATTCTTTCTGGAGTTGTGGACGGTGACGGGAAGAAGGCTGTGTGGACCACAGCAAACTATGGCAAGTTCTTAAAGAAATGGGAGTGCCTGACCACTTTATCTGTCTCCTGAGAAACCTATATGTGGGACAGGAAGCAACAGTTAGAACTGGTCATGGAACAACTGAGTGGTTCAAAATTGGGAAAGGAGTACGGCAAGGCTGCACATTGTCCCCCAGCTTATTTAACTTATATGCAGAATACATCATGCGGAAGGCTAGACTGGAAGAAACCCAAGCCGGAATTAAGATTGCCGGAAGAAATATCAACAACCTCCGATATGCAGATGATACCACTCTGATGGCAGAAAGTGAGGAGGAATTAAAGAACCTTGTAATGGGAGTGAAAGAGGAGAGTGCAAAAAACGGTCTGAAACTCAACATCAAAAAAACTAAGATCATGGCCACTGGTCCCATCACCTCCTGGGAAATAGAAGGGGAAGATATGGAGGCAGTGTCAAATTTTATCTTCCTGGGCTCCATGATCACTGCAGATGGAGACAGCAGCCCTGAAATTAAAAGACGCCTTCTTCTTGGGAGGAAAGCGATGACAAATCTTGACAGCATCTTGAAAAGCAGAGACATCACCTTGCCAACAAAAGTCCGAATAGTCAAAGCTATGGTTTTTCCTGTCATGATGTATGGAAGTGAGAGCTGGACCATAAAGAAAGCAGACCGCCGAAGAATTGATGCCTTTGAATTGTGGTGCTGGAGGAGACTCTTGAGAATCCCCTGGACTGCAAAGAGAACAAACCTATCAATTCTAAAGGAAATCAACCCTGAGTGCTCACTGGAAGGACAGATCCTGAAGCTGAGGCTCCAGTACTTTGGCCATCTCATGAGAAGAAAAGAGTCCTTGGAAAAAACCTTGATGTTAGGAAGGTGTGATGGCAAGAGGAGAAGGGGACGACCGAGGATGAGATGGCGGGACAGTGTCTGCGAAGCAACCAACATGAACCTGACACAACGCCGGGAGGCAGTAGAAGACAGGAGGGCCTGACGTGCTCTGGTAAATATAAATGATTGAGAGAGATGGAATTTAGATACGACTTTGGGGAGGAAAGCAATATCCATGGATAATTTGACTTTGTTCGGAAAAAAATTGTAAATAAGGATAGTCGTGACATAAGGCTGCTAACTCAAAAGCTCGTTGAGCTGAGGTGATGATGACGACAAAAGCTGTTTTACATGTAAGTAGCCATAAATTAGTTGACACTAAAGGTTCAAAAAGAGCTTTAGTAAGTTGTTGCAGTACTAATGTTAGTGAACATTGCAGGGAGGGCGGGCAGGTATCTGGGTAGATATGAGACAGGCCTTTAAGAAAATGTTTCAATGTTGGATGCTTGAAGAAATCAGCTGCTGGAGAGTTAGGGGGCTGATAAGAAACTCTGGCGGAGAGGTAAACTCTCAAGGAAGAGAGGGAAAGGCTGTTAGACTTGAGATGAAGCAAAATACGTAGGACAGTAGCAGGTGATGGGTTGATAGAGCCTCGTGGCGCAGTGGTTAAATTGCTGTACTGCAGCCAAAACTGTGCTCACGACCTGGGGTTCAATCCCAGGTAGCCAGCTCAAGGTTGACTCAGCCTTCTATCCTTCCGAGGTTGGTAAAATGAGTACCCAGCTTGCCTGGGGAGGCAATGTGTAGCCTGCATAATTAACTTGTAAACTGTCCAGAGAGTGCTTGAAGCGCTATGGGGCGGTATATAAGCAGCACGCTTTGCTTTTTGCTTTTGCTTTGATAAAAGGCAATGAAGAAGCTTCAGTGAAAGATTTGAATCTGTTCCATTTATACAAGTAAGCCTTTCTAGTGGAGGGCTTCTTTGATTGATGGAAAATGTTCATTAGTGAGGCAGAATACTCCATGCTGCCAGGTTCAGAAAAGGTAAGTCTGGGTGGAGTACTTGGGCGTTCTTCTGCATGAAGAGGTGGGGCAGGTGAGGGAGGTTGTGAATGTCCGATGAGAGATTGTGAAGGACTGGAAACCAGGGTTGTCTCGGCCACCAAGGGGCTATAACGATGGCATCAGGTTTGTCTTGTTGTAGGCGAACCACGACCTTGTGGCGAAGCGGGAATGTCAGAAAAAGGTAAGTGAGGGTCTTGGGCCATTGGCCAACAAATGCAACTCCTTGGGAGTGTTTGCTGATGCCAGCTCGGGAGCAGTATCGTTTGCACTTCCGATTCACATGGGAGGTGAAGAGGTTGAGAGTTGGTTTGTCCCATCATTCACATAGGCGAAGAAAAACTGATTGGTCTAACTCCCATTTGTGAGCTTGACAGTTCTGCAGTTGAGTAGATCGGCCAAGTTGTTGTCGTGGCCGGCAAAGTGTAAAGCCGTGAGGCAGATGTGATGTGCTAGGCAGCACTACTGTAGTCATAGAAAGCATGGTGCCTAGTACATGTTGCACAGTCAAGGCAGATACCATAGCATGAGGGGTGAAAACCTGAAGTAATGCAATGAGATTTTCTCTCTTGTCTGTAGGAAGAAAAGTGCAAGCTTGTGTGGAATCTATGCATGTGCCTATATAATGAATAATCTTTGTAGGTTTTTAATTTGACTTTTGTTCATTGACAACAAGATCGAGATCGCTAAGGAGGATAAGGGTGAAGTGAGTGTCAGGCCCTGCTACGGGAATGAGCTATGAGGAGCTGTCAATGGAGGCATGTCCATGGCCATTTGTTGGTGTCAAGGATTTTTTATACCGAGAGATGTCATTTGAGAGTCCATGGACGTTGCTTGATATGGTTGCACGTCGGTGTTGAACTCGGGGTCATAGTGATGTAGAGTTCAATGACTTGGTTCTATCAGTCAACAGAAATTGTGCATTGATAAGAGGGATAGAACGAGTGTCCATGGACCAGGATGGATATCAAGGATTATCGATATTAGAGCCTGTGTCTCGGTGATGTTGAAACTGAGGTTGTTGACAAGCTGGTAAAGCAGTGGAGTATACAGATGCTGGAGATGCCGAGTGAGAGGAATTATTCCCTTTGTCTGGATTAACGGGAAAATATCGGGAAGCTGGGGCTGAAAAAGTCTCATGTGTAGAAGTAAATTGCTTGACCGTCCTCAATCTTTTAGGTGCCAAGTAGGGAGCAAGTTGGAGTCCATGTGGGCCATGGTGCTACGGCCATTTCGAAACCTATGGCTGTCGAGATCGAGGCCCGCCATGAAAAGGTAAGGCTGAACTGGCTGGAGCACTGGTTCTTAACCTTGGGTTACTCAGGAGTTTTGGACTGCAACTCCCAGAAGCCTTCACCACCAGCTGTCCTGACTGGGGTTTCTGGGAGTTGCAGTTCAAAAGCATCCGAGTAACAAAGGTTAAGAACCACTGGGCTAGAGCAACTGGCTGATTGGTGGTTGCAGTTTGTCTTGTCGAGCACTGATCGGGGCAAATGCCAACCAGATGAGAGTGCAGAGGAGGTTGGGCCATTTTGGTTGGTTGAAGGGATTGCTCCTAAAGATGGAGTTTTAATCTGTATAAGTGAGAATGGATGACTCTGTGCTTGAAGTTCTTGCAGTGCTGGCAGGAGGACGTCTGGTGTGCCTCTCCCAAGCAAAGAAGACATTTAGTGTGGCCCTCGGAAAGTGGTATTTTGTTATCAAAGACCACACAAACGGGCCCAAAGGGGCCATGAATAGGAGAAAAATGATGATGGGGGGTGCGGCTAGAGGCTGCGCGAAGCAAAAAGGAAAAAAATCTCTGATGATAATGAATTTGAACTAAAGTTTAAAAGAAAAAAGATCAATAACAGGAAGGAATCAAGAATATGCTCTTTTTCTCTTTTACTCACAGAAGCAGAAACTATGAGGCTCTCAACACGACGGTTGAAATAAACTGAAAGGGGAGCTTTGGCACCAAGGTACTTATACATTGGGGGAGGAGGCTTATTCTAATGTGTTTTTTGCTACCACAGAAGATCTAAAACTTTCCGATGAGGCTCCGCGCAGGTACGGATCACCCAGTGTGTGATTCACAGAGGCCACGAAGAAGAACCTCTTGTCTAGTCATGCAAACACTTTAACTTAGGCAAATTGCCCTAAGTTAAGAAATCACAATTGACATTATCAGTTTCACAGTGGGTCATGCAACTCCGTATTCAACTAATAATGTCTGCTGTGATTCATTAATTTATGGCAATTTGCCTCCAAAAGTTAATATCATTTCTGCCATGCCAGAGTAACTAGGAAAGGGGATTTGGGCCAGTGTGTTTAAAATCTTTTCTGAAAAATGGAGTGTATTTCACCTCACATGTTTTCAAAATAACAACATTCATAGACTTCCTTTTTTTCTACTCAGTTATCAAATGCCATTCTAGGTCATGAATTTTTAGTTCATATTACAGTGGTGCCCCGTATAGCGAGGTTAATCCGTTCCGGATTAACCTTCGCTATAC